GGAATAAATTTGGCAAGATAATTCACCATTCCTAGAAGTCTTTGGACTTGCTTTTTTGATGAAGGAATCTCCAAATGTTTGATAGCTTCTACCTTCTCTTCGTCAACCCCTAGACCTGAATTGGTAAACAGATGCCCTAGAAACTTTATTCTATCTTTGCAAAAAGTGCACTTGTCTTTATTTAGTTTTATACCAGATTGATTTAGTTTTTTGATAACCAGGTCTGTTATCTGCATATTTTTTTCCTTTGTTTCGGCATATATCAGTATGTCATCCATGGAATTTTCAACGTTTGGTATATCCTTCAATACGTTAGCCAGTAACTGTTGAAAAATTTCTGGTGCGGAACACAGTCCAAAAGGTAGCCTTCTATAGCAATATCTACCCCAAGGAGTACTAAATGTTAGATATTTTTCTGATTCTGGGGCGATTTTGATTTGCCAGAAACCCTTTACACAGTCCAAAAGTGTGAAATATTTTGCACCTTGAACTCTGCTAGCAATTTCTTCCACTGTTTTAAAGGATAATGCCGCCTAAGTATTTGTTTATTGAGTTCTGAAGGATCAAGACAAATTCTTAGCTTGTTATTCTGTTTTACTATTACCATAGGGCTGGCAATTGGTGTAGGTTCATTAATTCTTCGAACCACTCCTAATTTAATCATATTTTCAAGTTCTGACTTTACTTGGTTTCTTATAGCATGTGGTATTACTCGGGAAGGACGAATTTGAAATTCCGCATTCGGTCTGATATTTGAGACATCATGAACATCTTAAACGAATAACTACAGCAGACATATCCGGAGAACAACCGATGCTGTTGATTGGCCAAGATAACATTCATTTAATAATACCAGAGCAAGTTTTAAGCGGACCAGAAAATGTTCCTATTGCTACAAAATGTAAACTAGGATGGGCAATACATGGCCCAGTTGCTGCAAATAATGTAAACTTTGCTGCTTGCACCTTTCATATTAGTGAAAACTTATCCCATGAACATCAACTAGATGAATTAGTAAAACAAAGCTTTTCACTAGATTCCTTCGGAATCGATACCCGTAAGCAGCAGATGTCACCCGATGAAAAAAGAGCAGTGAAGTTTAGTTACCTTATCTGATTTTGTTCTAGCTTGTACCTTAGTTGAGATTTAGATATTTTATTTAGCTACATTGCATTCTTATTGTGTTTTGTAAAGGGAGATGTAACAGCAGGCTTAAACAAGAGAATGTTGTTAGAAGTCAGTTGTGAAATGTTTCAAACCATTCAGTTCCTACTGTCATCATAAATGTAGATATTTGTTGATCTACATCCCTCTTGTGCAACTGTGTCACTTTTTCGTACATATCGAAATGTTGTACCCATTTATTCCAATCTTTTGCTGGATCATTCTCTATTCTGAATGCTTTCGGAGGGTCGATAACTGGGATCGCTTGTGTTGCTACTGTTTTGGATGCAATCATTTGGCGATTCATTATGGTTAATTCTTCGATTTGCTCACGCAATTTATCAATTTCCTTTTTAGTTTCATGAAGAACTCTCAGTGAAAGAATTATTGTAGGTACCCATATCTATTGGAGACAATTTAGTTTTATTTTGAATACCGATTGTACTTGGCATCAGCTCTTTCTATTTAGTTTTATTTTGAATACCACTTGTACTTGGAATTGGCTCTTTCTCTTCGGCACTCCTTTTATGGCCAAGGTTTCTTTCTTCTCTTTTTTGTATTTGTTTGGTTAGAATCTTGTCAACTCCTCCTATTTTACGATAAGACCTTTGATCTTGAAAAAAGGACCATTCTGCTTTCTTTTTCACAAGAGCAACGTTCTAAATCAAGACAAGTTGATATGTCAAACAATTTTGTTGAGTTTTTATGGAAATTATCCAACTTAGCTCGTAAAAAGATTGAAATTTTTCCTTTTATAGGTTTAATAACAGTTTGGTATTTGATATTATATGCAAGAATTAGTTTAATTATTCTCTCGCGAGATAAAGTTGGCAAGGAAGCTCGTTTCCATAAATGCTCTACTTCACTGGCTACAACATTTGCAACTGTAGCATTAGCTGGTTGTTTATTGCGTTTACTTTTTAACTCAATTCGCACGTTTAAATAACATTTCATCAAAACTTCATGAGTTGGTAGCTGATTTTTTTCTGGCAGAATGTCTTGGACGCTACCAAATAGAGGACACAAAAGATTTGCCCGAGTTTTGACGAAGGCTTTAGCCATTTTGAACGTCACGTTATAGTTTACTGCCACTAATTTAAATGTCTCACATTCACTACTTTGAAAAAAACATTATCTAAAACACCGTTATCAAAAAAGTATAGCACTATGCGGTCCGCACTCAACAAATGTTGAATGGAAACTGAATAAAAGGCCGGTAATCAGTAATTCTCCTTCTACCGATTATGAGATCAATTAAATAACAAACAAGCTATCATATACGAGGGCTAGTCAAAAAATATATTTGAAATTTTCTGCATTTAGCGTAGACTAGGACGTAAGTTATGGACCCTGGGCCCGGTTAAAAATATTTTATTTATAATTTTTTTTTCAATCTATGGGACAATAGTGAATAGTTTATTCACTATAAGTCTATTTTTATGTATGAGAGAGTATTAAAATAATAAAGCGTTCGTAATCCATAGGCATACCACTTCTTTTAGTAGACAGTTAAAATATTTTTTGAAGTTATTCCTCGAGTATACACTTATATTTTCACCTAATTAACCTGCTATAACTTCTAAACAGCTGAAGGTAAAAAAGTGCAATTTTTTCTAAATGTTTTATTTTTCCACAAGGTATGTTAAGAACATTGTGTCAAACAAGTTATGTAGGTATAAGGGTTTAAACTTTGACTTTTAAGCAACGTTACGTTCATAAATAATAATTTTAATATAAAAACTACTTCTTACCTACAAACACAAATTAGAATCGAAATCAAAAGATGAACTGTCGCAACCAATATTTACAATGAGTGGCTCGATCATTTTATCAGTAATATTGTCCAACTTCCACATTTTCTCTTCTTCTTTAATCGTATGATTTACTGCCTTTTCCCAGTTTTCAGGCATAACATTATTTACAGCCTCCATAAACAACTGTTTAACATCATTCATTTTAAAAGAATTATTTTTTCTTGAGACTTCTTCTTTATCTGTGCCCATATCAGTTCAATCGGGTTTACTTCTCAATGATATGGTAGTGATCTAACCACCGTCATCCCACGATTTTTTGCAATTTCATCAATTTCATATTTTTTGAATTTCTCTTTATGAAGGGAACACAAATGATATAGTTCTTTTTTCATAGATGGTTGTGGGCATTTTTTCTATAAGTCTCGAGTGATAACTTGCATTATCCATTACTAATATACAGTTCTGAGGAAGAAGATCTATAATTTGTTCGAACCACTCTTTAAAGACATCAGCATTCATGTCCTCATGGTAGTCACCGGTACGAGTAGATTCAAAAGTCAATAAACCACCTTTAACAAAACCGTTTGAACTACTGATGTGTACTATTATTAGTCTTCGACTTGTAACAGTTTCATCTTGCCAAAATTTATTTGGTTTATGTCCCTCGTTGATCCATGTTTCATCTAAATAAAATATGTTTCTTCTTTGGTTTCTCATTTCTTTTATAGTCCTTAGGCAATTTCTTCCCCATACTACAATATCGCTTCTTTCTATTAAAATAGACTTTCTGGGATGCTTTTTCCATAAAAAACCTATTTTTTTTAAAAAGTTTCCATAGTGTGCTTCGACTCATTTCAGGGTAATCCTTATCATCTTGAACCGTGGCAAGAACTTTGTCTACTGTCGGAAATTCTTTTCTAAAGAAGATCGCATGCACTTTCCTTCGAAGTCTTTCTTTCAAAAGGTTTTCTAATTAAAATTTTGGTTTTCCTGGAGCTTTACGTGCTGTTTGAAACTCGCCACATTTCTCTTCTTTAACAACATTATAAATCGTAGATTTCCCAACACCAAGCGTACTACTAACTAATTCCACTGTGTCATCAACACTTTTACATAAATGTTTGTCTGTAAATGATTCAAAACAATTAAATATTAATGTATTTTCAGTAACTGTTAAAGGACCGATTTTTTGTCCTTTACGCTTCCCTTCCAAATTTTCTATGATCACACTAGAATTCAAGAGTACACAACTTGGACCTCCTTACTAAATGGAAAACCTATAATCGCATTTTCGGTGAAATTTGTTGGGAAGGTATTTATCTACTTATAATTCGATTACTGTAAGAAATTCTTGGAATTAAAATAAAACAAAATTGGCAAATAGGTACTTATTGAAAATAATTTTAAGATACGGCTATGTAATCTTTAATACACAGGGCTTTTGGCCTGTCCAAACCTTTTTCTATTGTTCTGTACAGCTTATGTTTATAAAGGACCAGTAAAAGACCCAAAAATTGTAATAGCTCGGGTACATTTATTACAATTTTAGGAAATATTTAGATTATTCTGTAAAAATATTTAAAATGACCGTACTAAGTTTTGCTTTAGAAATGCTGTTTTATTACTCTCTCATACATAAAAATAGACTATAGCGCTGTCAAATTTAAACAATTTTTTTTTCCTTTTTGAGGGTCGACGGGCCCAGTTAAAATTAGTCCGATTATCATTTTTTTACCAATATTTTTTATTTCCCTAATATATAACTTTTCTTATGAAAATTTGAAAACAAAATTTTTTGGCTCATCTTATTATAGAGCTTGATTTTTGCTAAAAATTTAATCAATATAAATGTCACAATTCAATTCTATAAAATCACTAGCTCGTTAGAATAAATGGTAAGAATAAAAACAACAGAATCCTTTGGAAATAATCAAATAAAAACATGTATAAATGAGTAAAGAGGGAAAAAATACAACAATAGACACTTACCTTAACTTGCCCATTAATTTAGTTTTTTGAAGTATCATGGTGCGAAAATTCCATTCCATTTCTAAAAATTAATGAATTAAATTCAATTTTAAGGGAGGAATGGACGAACATAAAGCCGTGTTTATTATAATGAATCCTAAATCAATTACAATGGGTCAACTCTACGGCCAATTTGATCCAATATCCCACGAATGGTCGGATGGAGTTTTGGCGATTAGTTTTAGATTTTTTGCTATGTCGTCAACTGAGGATCGGTAAGTTAAATAATAAAAACAAATTTAATTTTGAATCTGGATCTTTCTACCCTAAACGTATTTGTATTCCCCAATAAGACTTTAAATGAAACACAATTTGTCTGTTTAGCTTTGTTTAATTTCACGATGAATCTTGAATCTCATTTTATAACATGACAAATCTACCATTACATTTCTGCATACATACGACAAGTGATAACAAAATGACAGAAATGACAATTTATAGTGTAACTAACTTGGTGATATTAAAATATTAAATCCTTATAAACATAACTAAATTGGTTTTAACGATTTGGTACATACATCAACATAGGACCCTATATAAGCAAAAATAATAAAATGTATATTTATAAAAATATTTTTGATACTTTAAAATTTTTTTTTTTGTTTTTTAAGTAAATGGTTAATTTTCGATGGCCCGGTAGATGCTGTGTGGATTGAAAATATGAATACTGTATTGGATGATAACAAAAAACTATGCTTAATGTCCGGTGAAATCATTCAATTAGCCAACACTACCACTCTAATGTTTGAACCCATGGATTTGGATGTTGCTTCTCCAGCAACTGTAAGATATGAATATTTTTTATGGTTCTGTTGTTCTATATCTTATTTTTTTATAAAACGACTCATTATAGCTACCCCAGTAACACAAAACTCTACTACTAACAAATTCCGTTGGACCCAAGCATTAAATGCGAACAAGCTTCTTTATGGCTTCTTGTGTTATTTGGGTAATGATTTAGAAAATAATAGTTTTACATGGGAGAATGGACACTAACTTTTTATATATTTTTTTTAAGGTATCAAGAGTTGGCATGATCTATTTAGAGCCCAAGGCTCTAGGATGGGAACCCATATTGTGGTCGTGGTTGAATGTATTGCCGCCATTTATCAATAATGATTTTTACAAAATGATGTTATTCAATCTATTTTTGAGGTTTTGTAAGCCTTTGTTGTGGTTGGTAAAGAAAGGTCTTAAGGCATGTTAAATTGAGACCATCCAAATCTAGCCTATTAATAAGTTTACTTTTTCCAATTATTTTAGGAAATAAGTGGAACTCTAGAACACAATCTCATCAGGGCTGTTATGAATTACTTCGATTGCTTCATGGATGACTTCTACGATGAAAAATACAGAGATCAGGTGTCAGATTTAGACGTAAGGGCACAAATAGAGGGATCTTTCTTCTTCTCGTGTATCTGGGGAGTTGGCAGCACTATTGATATTAACAGCCGAGAAAAATTTAGCTACATGTTCAGGTAAGACTAAGAAAATTAAAACTAAAATAAAATAATTTTGAAACTGTTAAAGTTATAGACAAAATACGTAGATCAACTTTTAATAATGACACAATATGAAAATCTAGCGACACTGACAATATATCTATATACATGGTGATTCATAACTATTGGGACATAGGCTAAGGGCAGGTTATTTGGACCAAAATATGGCGATTGGACCAAATATACTCTTATAAAATATGGCTGTGGAATAAGATACAGGGCGTTAAAGTTGAATTTTTTTTTCGTTTTTTTTTTCTGATAATGTCGCTGTTTATTTATGAATTGTTATCAAAATCGGCACAAAGGCATATCTTTGAAAAAGGAATATTATTTTATGTAATATTTCACATTTTGTTACAAGGGGCGCCACGTGAATAATTCCTGATGATGAAATTAGGTGGTAACTTTTTTTGGCGAAACTTTTTAGTGCTTTTGATTAGAAAATATTACCTAAAAATTATTTCTACGTAATATTGGTACTCTTGTTTAAACACGATAATTTCACCTGTTTTCGAGAAAAACGTAATTAAACAGTTCAGTGTCTCAGAAGGGGATTCCAAATAACATAATAAGAAAACTTGTAACGTAAGGCTTCTATTTCAACGGTAAAGCAAAATTAAAAACAATTTAACATAAAAAAAGCAAACTTAAATTAAATGTTCAATGTGACCTCCTCCTACTTCTATGCCTTTTCTAATTCTTTTAATAAAGGACTTTCGGATGGCAAAGAAAATATTATTCTGTCCCCTTATAAAATTACCCGCATTTTGTATGTTCCTCTAGAGTTCGTTTCGTAAAGTAATTTCCTGGGTATAAACTAAGGATTTCATATGTCCCCATACATAAAAATCAAGAAGGTTACAGTCAGGACTTCTTGGTGGCCATTTAAAATTACTTCCTCTGCCAATCCAACGTTGAGGAAATATGTCACTTAGATAATTTCTAACAACTAATGAGAAATGAGGTGGAGCTCCATCCTGCATAAACCACATTTTCCTTCTTACATCTAGTGGCATATCATCCAAAATATCTCTAAAAGTATTTTGCAAAAAAAAATTAATAGGAATCTCCATTTAAATTTGGAGGAAGACGATATGGCCCTAGTAGTTGGTCGCCTATAATGTCACACCAAATATTAAATTTAAACTCATGTTGAAAATGTCTTTCTTTACGAGCATGCGGGTTTTCTTCTTCCCAGTGATGACTGTTTCGATAATTAAAAATAAAAACACCTCGTCTAGTAAAAGTCGCTTCATCGGTGAACATAATATTTTTAATAAAATTTCGGTCATCATTATGTTTATTGAGAATACGTTGGCAGAACTGTAACCGTCTTGGGAGATCTCTTGGAAGCAAATTTTGAAAAGGAGTGAAGTGATAAGGATAAAACTTTTCTTTTTTTAAAATCTCTAATAATAGACGACTGACTTACTCCTGTTGTTATTGCCAGTTGACGTGAACTTACTTCAGGATTTTCATCTACTCGAACCAAAATTTCATCTTCTTCATTAGTTGTGATTTGTTTCGGACGACCACCCAGATTTTTACTATGAAATTACCCGGTTTCACCCAAACGATGAAATAGATTTGCAAAAGTTTTGTGATTTGGTTGCTTTCTGTATGGATATTACAATTCATACCTTCTGGCTGCCATGCGACAGCAAAAATTTTCTTGTGCATATACACAAACCATATCCCGCATTTCTTCATTCGTAAAATGATTGTGACAAGACATTTCAGTCGAAAAAGCTTAAAAAATGCAACAATAGACAATAATCTCACAGCAAAAATAATTCATTGGCAAGAACTGACATTTACCAGACACAATGGGGCATGTTCAAAAATTTTGAAATTTTTTTTATGAATAATAGAGTTGAAAATAAAATTACATTTTTTTTATTTTTTTTTTATCTATTCATTTGCCGGAGTTATGAATTTTTTTAAAATTTATGACGTCACCGGGAATAGACCAATAGGAGCTAGCGCACAACGTTGCCGGCTAGAAGGTTTACGAGAAGTGATGTACGTTCGTTTGTGTACTCCTTCTTACTTTTAGACTTCTAAAACATCGTTAAACAAATATCTTTTAAATATATAATATCAAATGTTTTTTTAAAGTATTATTTCTGTTTAAACTTTTACCATATTTAAGGTTTCATTGTTTTAAAAGTCACTTAATAATTCAGAAAATGGCAAAATGGCAGCACTGTGTATGGCATCTGTCATCATAGTGTCTCCATCAAGAATTTATTTGGAATTTGATTGTTTAATTTTGTACTTTTTATAAATATTATGACTACGAAAAAGTGTTTTGTTCCAGAATGTGATAATGATTCACATTCATCTTCAAAAATATTTATTAGTGTTCCTAGAAATTTGGAAAGAAGAAAATCAACCTTCTACTAGCGATGTTTCTCGTGAACTTTTTAATAAAAATACACCGGATTATCAAGATATAGCAGCAATTTCTGCTAATTGTCCCCTTCAGGAAATTGAAAATAAGGATACTATAAATTCTTAGGTGTATAACCTAAAAACCCTTCTGGAAGAAAATGCAGAATCTCCTGAAAGTTTTGAAGATACCGAATTTATTCATCATTTTGTGGAAGAACTAGTGATAAAGAAATAATGGAAAAATGTGGGTATTTAAACAAACTGGTTCCTGGATCCCATATAATGGCAGATAGGGGTTTCAGAATAATCAGCTACTTGAAAACATGGGATACACTTTAGTAAAGCCACACCTAGTGTATCACAGAATGAAAAAACTTCTCAAGAAGATGTACAATTAAGTAAAAGAATAGCATCTCTAAGAATACATGTGGAAAGAGTTATAAGAAGGGTTAGTTAATTTAACATGTTAAAACCACATTCGTGTGTGAATTTTAAGCAAGTACATTTACTTAGTAATATCTACATAATTGCTTGTTAACTTACAAGAACCTATTTTGTAAGAGTAAATATTAATTTAATAAACTTTTTTGTTTGTTTTTTAATTTAATTTACCTAATTATCACATTTCAGGGATTATAATGAGTTTTTAAACAGCCAATGTAATTTTTGATAAAAATTTAACTTTTCGAGCAAATTGAAGAGGAATGAGTACCTGTATATGCATAGATTTTTTTGGGACTGAAACTACCAAAACAAAGGCACCTATTTACAGCAGTTTAAAATGAAACATTTTAACAAAAACGCCTATGTCACAGTGATAAATATTAAAAACCAAGTTCAGTTGAATGTGGTAGCAAAGTCTATATATTCCAATAAATCGGGTAACTACATGTGGTATCACTGGTGATAAATTTAAAAATATCACAGTTCTTGCCACCTTTTTCAAAAAACCAGAAAGTGTGCCTTCTTATGAAAATGACAACAGTGATAAATGTGAAAAAAAAATTTCATGTTGCTATTCGTTATTACGATAGTAAAACATGTTTGCAGTTCCGTTTATTTTTTATGAAAATCTAAGTAAAAACAACCAATGTCAAAGGGTTTTAATTTTTTTTCTGTCAAACCAAATATATCACAAAATTAAAAATTGATCATAGGTCAAGCTAAAGTAATACCTTTATTAATAGTAGCTTTAAAAAAGGAGAAAGAATAATATTGACTTAAGTTATTATTATTAACATTGGTGATTTTTAATAAAAACTTCAATTATTGTTTACAAACAAAAATATAAAAATCTGTGAAAATTTTATTTATTAACCTTTTAATAAAAACTGAGAAAAATGAAGTAAAAAAACAATTTATTTACAAATAAAAAATATATACAAATCCTAAGAATATAAAAGTACTGATTTATTTTCCTGTAGTGGATGAAGAGGTTTCTTTAACAATCTAGCCAAGTGTACATCATTATCAATAACACTGAGTAGATGTTACAGATGGTTCCTCACTTCTTCTATGAACCCACATGTTTACAACCTCCTGAAAAAAATAAAAGGGTTAGATATGCAGTTACAAAATAACTATATAACCAGCTACAAAATGCCTTATTTTATGTAACAAGACGAGCACTTTACTAGCTCTGAACGAATCCAGTAAAGAACCTCTGATTTTCAAAACTTAAAAAAACAAGCTCACCACATTTTCACATTTTTGAAATATTATAGAGCTTTTCGAAAAAAACAGCTATTTTTAAAAGTACCATTTTTGTTTAAACAGCTATGTCTCATTTTAGGCTATTGAGTATTATAAAATAAAAAATTACGGGATGCTTTGTTAGCTTCAAACGAATCCAGCAGAGCACCCCAGTTTTTTTTTAAACCACACCACATTTTTTGGCTCCTACAATATTATAAAATATTCGAAATTTGACATTTTTAAAAAAAATTCGCAATTCCTTGCTGACTTCAAAGTTTTTTTTCTGAAAACAAATATACTTACCACATTTTTAGGATTTTAAAACAGCCTAAACATGTGTCATAAGTAGTTGTTTTTATATATTAAAAAACTGAAGTGTCCTGCTGACTTTGTTCCAACAAAGCACCCTGTATTATTTAAAAATAGCAATTTTTTTAGTAAAGTTTTACAATATTTCAAGAGTCTAAAAATGGGGTGTGGTTTTTAGAAAAAAGCTTTAAAAAACCGAATTGCTCTGCTGGCTTCTTTCGAAGGTTAGCAAGCACCATGTATTTTTTAAAAATATAATATTTCAAGTGCATAAATATATGGTGTTGCTGTTTTTACAGAAAAAACTTTATAAAACAGAGGTGCTTTGCTGACTTCGTTCGAAGCTATCAGAGCATTTTAAGTTTTGCATAAAACGAGGAGCATAAAATTTTTGAAAAGGGTATAAAAATAGCCTAAAAATATGGCATGTTTTAACTCAAAATTTCATAGGTGCTCTGCAGCATTCTTTGGTATCATAATTATTACTAGGTTCGCTAACAAAATCTATTTCTAGATTATTTTAACACTTGCTGCGATTACAAAAAATGTCTCTTTATGTCAAAATTAGAAAAAAAATA